TCTCTCTCTCTCTCTCTCTCTCTCTCTCTCTCTCTCTCTCTCACTCTCACACACACACACGCACACACACACGCGCACACACACGCACACACACACACACAGAGAGAGAGGGGGGAGAGAGAGAGAGAAAGAGAGAGAGAGGGAGAGGGAGAGGGAGGGTGTCCGATAATTCTGACGGAATTTGTGAACATGGGAACGAACTAAACTGAAACAGAAAGTCCTTCATCATTTTGCAATTTTCGCAATAGTTAACAAGATATTAATTATAAAATTAACAAAAAGGTCATAAAACTAGTTGTTTTTTGCACAAGTTGTTTTTTGTGATATTTAATATATAATTAAATTATAAATTTTAGATGTTTATAAATGATTTCGGCCACAATCTGGCCATCTTCAGTAAATTTACAAATATTAATAAAAACGCAGAATTGACATTAATATATTAAAATTCAACGGTCATAAATATAATTATAAATCAAAGCTTTTTTTTCTCTTGTATGAATACATCATAAAACGTGGTTGCTAAATCAATTAATATTATTAATATTAAATCAATTGCAAATTATGTTTAGAATTGCCAGATTCTAATTTAAAATAATTATAGTATCGTTAATATCTTCTGATCAATTTAATAAAGATTAACAATTCATTACCTGTTTTACAGACAAAATGATGAGTCTTAAGCAATTTCTTCACGCAGATGGAAACTCGTCATGATATTGTGTATTATTATTTGTCCATATATTCATGTGTGTCCGCTGTTTATATGTGCGTCAAAAGTTTAGATTATTCTAGAATTATTTTTAAGTGTGAGAGAGATCTTTCTTTAGAATAGGTAAATAAACATCAATCCTTCAGTATCACTTTGCTTAGTTATACTAGTTATTTGGTTTTTTCACCAAGAAATTCTTCTTTTGAATAATGATTGTTCTGTGTCTAAAATTCTAACATTATCCCAATCCAATTCATGCTTCTCATTAACTTGATAGCGTGAGATTACTGAGACATATCGGTAGCGGATTTTCTTATGTCAATCTTATATTCTTTTATTCGTGTTTTTAATTTTCTTTGGCCGACGTAAGAAGATTCACAATCCAAACAATTTATCTTATAAAGACACCACAATGATCCTCTTTACATAAGCGATCTTTTACTGTTTTTATAAATCTATTTAGTTTATTGATAGATTTGTAAGCAATATTAAAACTATGACTGTGTAATTTATTAAATTTTTCCGAAATTTTACTTAAATATGTTTACAAAAACTTCTTTATTAAATTAGATTCAGAATCATTTCCTTGTTATTGGAATCACTATTTTTATCTAAATTGATTCTATTTTCTAAACTTTTTATTCTATTGTTGAAAAAATGAATTTAATAGGATAACCATTAATTAACAAAGTGTTTGAAATATTTTTTTCATGGAATTTGGATGGGATAAAAATAATATTTCTGTTTAACTGCCCGATGATTACATCCCTTTTGTATACTATTGGATGATTAGAATAATTGAAATATCTCCCTAAATTAATTGGTTTTTTATATATGTTAAATTAACTAGAAGATATTAACGATACTATAATTATTTCAAATTAGAATCTCGCAATTCTCGTTCTATATAATTTGCAATACATTAATTGGCTCAACAACCACGTTTTATGATGTACTCGTACAAGAGGAAAGAAAGCGTTAATTTATAATTATATTTATGATCATTGAATTTTAATATTAAATTAATGTAAATTCTATGTTTTTATTGATATTTGTAAATTTACTGAAAATGTGGCCGAAACGTCTAAATCATTTATAAACTTAATTACGTATTAAATATTATAAAAAATACTTGTGGTTTTATGCTCTTCTTTTTATTAATTTTATGATAAAAAAACCATGTTTGTTGCAATTATATAAGATAATAATTGCTAAAAATTGCCGAAAAATGGTCTTCAATAATTTTTTACTCAAATATTATCAACCTTCAAGAAAGACTGCAAGAGAAAATTGCTTATTTTTTTCTCATAAAGTTCTGAAAATTGTTTCAGAATTTTTAAATATCGTATTTGCTCATATTGATAAAAGTTGTCAATATAAGAAAATGCAGTTTGAAAAAATTGATAAAAAATTTTGAAAAAATTTTTAAAGCTCTTTGAGAAAAAAATAAACAATTTCCATTTTTTGCTGATTTTCTGTAAAGTTAATAGTATTTGAGTAAATAGAGTAAATAGAAATTATAGAAGACCAATATTCGACAATTTTTAGTAATTAATATCTCGTTAACATTGCAAAAATTACATAATAGTGGAGGACTTTTTGATTCAATTTAGTCCGCTCTGCTGCACAAAAGCGCTTGGCAAAAAATTGCGACATTTCGTGTGCGTGCGTGCGTGCGTGTGTGTGTGTGTGTGTGTGTGTGTGTGTGTGTGTGTGTGTGTGTGTGTGTGTATGTGTATATTCTATAAACACTATCTAATATATTACAATAAAAATAAATTATATATGAATGTGCATAACATGTTTCATCGCGTTTTTTTGAATTCATCCTCATTCGTCCTTGATCGTATTAACTAATCATATTATTGGAAGGAGAAAGAATTTAATCGGATCACTTAATTGCGATTAAAAATGACGGCCTGGAACATCTTTCGATCAATAATTGATTAATTGCGCTCGATCACGTGAATCAATTGCCGACATAATTTCGCAATTGTCTGACTAAGTCTTTGATCGCGACTTAATGCATACCAGATACGTGCCAACGGTCGGGCTAAAGCATATTATAAACTTAAATATATATGCTTAAAAATCTCGCCTTGTCTATCAATTTTATTTTATTTATTTCGTATGTTGCATTTTCGAATCGTGATACCACGTGCACCTTTCTTTTTCATTTACGCACTATTGTCGCAACATCGGATTCAAGCTCATTAAAGAATAAGTCAACGGCAAGAGGAAATTATTACTTCTGTTGCACGATCTCGTGATTTTGCACAACAGATAAAACAATATCATTGCCGATGTTGACAAGCTTATCATAGACTTACATATGTGTGAGTTGACTTATTGGCTCTTCATTCATGGATCACTACGTCTCCCGCTTGCAAACCAGCTAAATGGGCCAGGCCTCCGATCGTTACCTTGTCGAATAATGTGCTTAATAAAAAAATGGAAAAGAAACATAGATAATTTTAATATCACTTCATTTGAAAATTATTACTCAAATGCCTCTCGCAATTAACGTGATTAAGCTGAAATCAGATTACATTGAAGATTGAGAATGAAGATTAAAAATTGAAATTTGACTAATAAAGAAATTTTAACTTCTTTGATTTTAATAATTGATCAAATTTCAATCTTCCATTCTCAATCGTTAATGCGTCTGATACTGACCTTAGACGTTTACATTTTAAGATTTATGCTTTATTAAGGAATACATAAGAAGAATCATAAGTAATTTGAAAATATATAAATAATGAAATAAATTGTGCTCTCAAGATAACAAATAAATATAAATTAGTGTCAGGCGATTGAGAGCAAAAATAGATGCAGTCATTGCGCCTATTTTTGCTTTCAATCTTGATATTAATTTACTCAACTTGACATATATAATATTTATATTTTATTAATATTTATATTCATTTATATTTATATTCATTTATATTTATTGTAATTTATATTAATTTGTATATTGTTGAGTATCTATAGTTATAAAATTTAAACATTAATAAATGTGTTTTATTCTGACGACGGTCAAAAGAAAAATAAAGTCCACATCTCCGGAGAAAACCCCACGGTTGAGTCTTACATCGTGACAGTTTAACGTCGGTAGTGATGGTGGCATTGACGGCCGCCATGGAAAGTTTAGCACAATATTTCGCCTGAAAGTAGACTTTGCACATATACTTTCCGATTATCCGTAAAATTGTGACCATTTTTTTGTAAATCGGATGACGTAATTATAGATTTTTATCTTAGAGAACGTTAAACTATTCACTTCATATTTACCACGACAATCTTGTCACTCAGATCGGCCCCACGACGAAATCATTACATCTGAGATCGAGTAATGAATAACAATAAGAATCGCTGATCGTCATTGGTCTTTACATCGTGGTGTGATTCAAATTTCTGCAGAGAGAGAGAGAGAGAGAGAGAGAGAGAGAGAGAGAGAGAGAGAGGGGGGGGGGGGGGGGGG